CTCCTGCCTCAGCCTCCCAAGTAGCTGGGACCACAGGTCCCTGCCACAATGCCTGACTATTTTGGGGGGGTTGCAGCCATCATTGTTGTTTGGCAGGCCTGGGCTGGATTCGAACCTGCCACCTTAGGTGTATGCGGCTGGAACCTTAGACACTTGAGCCACAGGGGCCGAGCCCAAACGTGGGAAATTTATAGTGCACAGCATCCAAGTATTTTCCAGGGATGCGTGTGCATACACACACACACACACACACACACACACAACCCCAGCAGAAAAATATGACCAATAACCAGGAGAAAATCAGAAATGGCTAGAAATGGCAAAGATGATAAAACTAGCAGACAAAGATGACAAAACAGTTAACGATAAATATGCTCTAAATACCCGAGAAGGCAGAGGAAAACCTGAGAATAAAGAGAGGAGATAAAGGTGCAAAAAAATTCATGTAGAAATACTTGAGAAGAAACACTATTAAGTGAAAAACCTAGTGATATTAATAGTATATTAATTAGACTGGAAAAGAAAAGATAAATGTGCTTGAAGACATAGCCACAGAAACTATCCAAAATGAAACAGAGAGAAAAAAGACTGGAAAAAAAAAAAGGAACAGAGTATCAGTGACCCACGGGACAATAGCAAGCCATCTAACATATGTATAATTGGAGTATCAAAAGGAGAGGAGAGGGGAGGGACAGAAAAAATATTTGAATAAATAATGGCTGAAATTTTTTAAGTTTGGTGAAAACTCTGGATCCAAGAATCTCAGTGAACTCCAAGCTGAATAAAGCCTAAAGAGAAGCATGCAGAGATATATCATAATCAAATTGCCAAAAATCAAGCTTAAGAAAAAAATCTTAAAACACCCAGAAGACAAAACACATTAAGTACTTAAGAAAAACTTTGTCCACTATTTGCTAGAGTCAAAAACTGTACACTAGCAGACCGTGGAGAGAAATCTTTAAAGTAGTGAAATGGAAACAAAGTCAGCCCAGAATTCTTTACATGGCTGGACATGGTGGCTCACACCTGTAATCTTAGCATTCTAGGAGGCTGAGGTGAGTGGATTGCTTGAGCTCACGTGTTCGAGACCAGCCTGAGCAAGAGTGAGACACTATCTCTATTAAAAATGAAAAACTGAGGCAGGAGGATCTCTTAAGCCCAAGAATTGGAGGTTGCTGTGAGCTGCCACTGCATGGCACTGTAACCTGGGGCAACAGAGTGAGACTTTGTCTCCAAAAAAAAAGAAAGAAAGAAAATTGAATTTCTTACATAACAAAAATCTTCTAAAATGGAGAAATAAAGACTTTTTTCAGATATTCAAAACCTGAGAAAATTTATCCCTGAAAGCTTTCACTGTAAGAAATGTTAAGGCATAAGACATGCTTCCATATGGAAATCTGAATGGCTATATAAAGGAACAAAGAGAGCCAGAACTGGTAAACGTGTAGGTGAATGTAAACAACTTTTCTTATTTCTTCTGAAAGATAATTGCTAGCCATAGGGGTACATGCTTGTAGTCCTAGCTCCTCAGGAGGCTGAGGCAAGAGGATTACCTGAGCCCAAGAGTTTCAGGTTGCTGTGAGCTATGACACCAATGATATGGAGTGAGATGTCTCAAAAACAAACAAACAAACAAACAAACAAACAAGCAGAAGTGAAATGTATAATAATAGCACAAAGACTGAGAGAGGGAAAATGGAAATATACTCTACTGCTTTAAGGTTCTTGCCCTATATGTAAATTGACATATTATTTGAAGGTAAAATGCGATAAGGTAAAAATTTCTTTTTTTTTTTCCATCAAAACATCAAGGTAAAAATTTCTATTGTAAACCTTAGAACTAATTCAAGATCTGGCTTAGGAATTGTACAAGATGAGCCTAGACTATCCCGTCACTCCAGGGAGCCAGTGTGAACCTGTGAAACTGCTTTTGTTAACTAACATAAGAACAAAATGCTGAGAAACTCTTTTTGTTCAAGTCACGAGTATGAGAAACTTTGTATTTGAAATAATATCACCAAGAATCAAATGTTATAGTCTTCCCTGGGAGAAACTAGTCTTTTAATACAGAAAGGCAAGCTTGGTTTCAGAGCCAGGTGCAAAGTGTCAGAAGGTTTTAGGATACAAAATTTCACATCTATCTTAATTTTGTACTTTCCATGGAAGTGGGACCTTGAATCCCTTTACAGCCGAGATCTGATGTTAACCCCCTTAGGCGCTGCCTCCTGGCCCTGCCTTGCCTTGAAGTCTATCAAACATGGCTTCATTCACCTTGTACTTCAGCCTGCACTTTCCCTTAGTTCCCTTATTTGTGCAGGGAAATTTGGTAGCTTTTAGGGGGATTTTTCTTTTCTTTTTTCTTTTTTTTGAGACAGAGTCTCACTCTGTTGCCCAGGCTAGAGCATATAGTTCATAGCAACCTCAAACTCCTAGGTTCAAGTGACTCTCCTGCTTCAGCCTCCCGAGGAGCTGGGACTACAGATCTCTGCCACAAAGCCCCGCTAACTTTTCTATTTTTAGTAGAGTTGGGGTCTTGCTCTTGCTTAGGCTTGTCTAGAACTCCTCAGTTCAGGGCATCCTCCTCCCTCAGCCTCCCAGAGTGCCAGGGTTACAGGCCTGAGCCTCCGCACTAGGTGCTTTATAGACGAATTCTATCTTCAGCATGGACATAGCCTATTATGGTGTCACCTGGAAACAGATTAGAAATAGCGGAGGAAAGTGGCTGAACATCTCTCTATGCTCTCTTGTAGCATAAAATAGATCCAGGAGGTCCCCAAATTCCCTTCTCTCTGGTTAAGAAAGGAAAACCAGTGACAAAATGCAGAAGGCAATAAGGGAAGGTGTGAACAGCATTAATCCAGGAACCAGACAGGAAATTTGGTTGAAATGAAGGGCCAAGTCAGTGGTCGGGTCCTCAACATGGCCAAGAGATTTCGTCAGCCAGGGGATCCAGTAACAAGAGTTCACTCTGGTCACACTCAATGAGGCATATTACCAGGGCTGGGTGTGGTGGCTAACACCTGTAATCCTAGCACTCTGGGAGGCTGAGGTGGGTGGATTGCCTGAGCTCACAGGTTCGAGAACAGCCTGAGCAAGAGCAAGACCCAGTCTCTAAACATAGCCATGCATTGTGGCAGGCACCTGTAGTCCCAGCTACTTGGGAGGCTGAGGCAAGAGAATTGCTTAAGCCCAAGAGTTTGAGGTTGCTGTGAGCTGATGCCGTGGCACGCTACCAAGGATGACAAAGTGAGACTGTGTCTCCAAAAAAACCCAAATGAAAAAATGAAGGATATTACCCCAGTGGACCACAAGGATCCAGCACAGGGATCCTACCGCCTCAGGTTCCTGCCCCAGGGCCTTTGCACATGTCATTTCCGCTAGGTTTATTATTCTTCTTTATATATCCACATGGTTTACCATGTATGGTTTCTTTGGTTCCAGTGAGCCATTTCATGAGCACCCCATTAAAAATATCAAAACACCTCCCCCTGGCATTTGCTATCCTCCTTCATGCCTATTTTTCTCTTTGCATTCACCATCATCATCATGGGACAGATGTTTCACTTATTTTCAAAATTCTCTGGATCCTCCAGTAAATGTAGAATCTCTGGATCTTCCAGTAGATGAGCAAAATCTCTGTCTTCTGTCCAGAATCTGTGTGTTTTGTTCTGCTTTGCTTATTGTCCTGCCTCCAGCACCTATCACAGTGCCAGGAACATGAAATCTATTCAGCCATTTTACTGAATGAAGCAATTAATTAATTGATGACATATTAACTTACTTTCTCCTAAACCTAGATGCTCTCCCTGGAAGAAGGGGGGAAGAAAGGAGACATACCAAAAGACTGGATATTTATTCTTTTTTTTTTTTGGCTGGGCCTGGGCTTGAACCCGCCACCTCTGGCATATGGGTCCGACGCCCTACCCTTTTGAGCCACAGGCGCCACCAAAGACTGGATATTTATTCAAAAGAGACTGAATTAACTTGAAGATTGTCTTAAACCAGAAAGACAAACATTTAAGTACTGAGTTTGGGCACAGCCTCTATGTGCCCTCTTCTGCCCCTCCCTCCACTAGTTCACCCACCATCAGGATGGCAGGTCTTGGGAAAGTTCAGATGTTACAGAAAATGAAGAAGCTTTGCACATCAAGATTTTAGTGTGTTCTGTGTTGTTCCCTTAGCCTGCTATTCCTATACACTTGATGTTGTTATAGCAGTTGAGAAATAAGGAAATTGACACTGTGAGCCTCTGAGCTACTTTTGGGGGGTTACAGAGTTAGGGTATGGTGGGGGAGGATTCTAACGGGGTTCTGGGCTTTCCTTTCTTTCCCTGGTGAGTGTTTTCAGGGTCACAGGCAGACATGAGGACTGAGGTTAGCTAATGTAGGAAATTCACACATTCTGACTTTGTGGAAAGGTGAGCTGACAGCCTAGGGGTGGGCAGAAGCTTCTGCCAGATGAGCAGGAGGGAGCAGGCAGCTGGAGCTGGACTTGGTGGGATGTGCACATCTGACCAGGGCCCGTCTCTGCTTAAGTCACCCATGGCTCCCTCTGCTGGTGGCTTCCTCTCCTGGCCTTCAAAGCTCATTCAGACCTGGGCCTTGTGTGCTCACTCCTTGCTGCTTCCCTGACACACTCCTCTGCTTTGTGTGGCTTTCCCCAAAGGGGAGGCCATGTTCTTCCCCATGCCTGGACCTTTGCAGAAGCTGACCTCCCTGCCTGGACACCCTTTTACTTAGACCTTTTCTTCTTGCCTTTCTACTCACGTCTCAGGATTTGGGGTATCTCTCTAGGGCAGTGGTTCTCAACCTGTGAGTTGCGACCCACAGGAACTGTATTAAAAGGCCGTGGCATTAGGAAGGTTGAGAACCACTGCTCTTGAAGGACTCTCCTGACCCTCAGGCTGGGCTGTGGGCCCAGTTGGCTGGCTTCTCTCTGACACAGACATGTCACCCTGGGCTGTAAGTGCTGGTGTAACTGTCTCCTCAAGGCCATGCCATTTATCTCTGTGGCCCTAGCTCCCAACACAGCATCTGGTACAGAGGCAGCAACAGTAAACATGAACTTTTCTCTCCCACTAAGGTGGCTGTGATCCTTACAAAGCCTAGATCATTCTGGGGACAGTTCTGCACAAGCACCAGGACTGCCTCTTCTCCTTCCTGTCTCTTTTGCCCACCTCCTCCACTCTTCCTCACACTCCAGGCCACCTGCTACGCTCCCTGGAGCTGAGCAGGGAGAGGAGGGATGGAGTGTCGGAGCTAGGAGCTCTGCGAGTTGTAGTTGGCACCTAACATCTGGCACCCGATGCTGGTGAGGGCGTCTCTTAAACATGGTCCAAATTGTGACCCGCAGCCTGCGCCCTGCCACCCTTAGGGTTTTCCTTGACCAGGTCTCAGTCTCCAAACCCTGCCCCTTCCCTGAGGAGGTCCAGGTTACCTGGAGTGAGCTGGGACAAGAGCAGCAGTGCAGCCAAAGTCAGCAAAAGGAGCTTCATGGCTGGAGACCGCCCAAGGTGAAGCCGCAAGTGCGATGTGACCGGCAGAGCTAATGGGACGTAGGGGAGTGCCCGGCCCTGGCTCGCTGTCCCTCTGATAACCACAGCACACATTCTGCTCTCAGCTGCCCACGGTACAGTCCCCACTCCCCCTCCACAGGGTGGTGCCCACACCTCTGCGCTGACAGCCTCCCTTTGTCATGGAGGTCGGTAGAGAGAAGTCCAAGGTCCAGCCTTGGTCCGCGGCCTTTCACCCGGCTCGAAACCACCCGACCCCAGGCACCACACGGGAGCGCCACCGACGCGGAGTCCGGAGGGCCAGGGACGCCCGCAGAGCAGCGTTAGAGTAATAAATACCACCCGACAGGCAGATGAACCGAGATGCGATTCCAGGCAGAGGAACGTTGGTAGGCAGGTTCATGATGGTGAAACGAAAAATACGACGTAATCGGAGCAAAAACTGGGAGAAAAATGACAGTAAGAGATACAGCTGCAAGTTCTGTGCGGCCTCTAGAAGTTCCAGGGGCCACAGCGCTCTGCTAGTCCTGGCCTTGTGGTGGACTGTACTCTCAGGGTCACCCTCATGGGCACCAGGCTGTGCCCCTTCCTCAGAGATGCAAGAACCAGCCATTGAGGGTCCCTGGGCTGAACTCAGGATTTGAAAACTCACTCTCTTTCTCTTATTTTCCTCAGTGCTCTGGGTGGTAGCTGCATCCTGTGGTTACTAACACTTGTTTCCTCGGGGTCCTTTTGTTCTTTCAGCCTTCCAAGAATGTGTAACTGATTCCCTTTACTTAATAGCCTCTGTTGGTAGCCTAGTTCAGTGGGTAGGGTGCTGGTCACAGGCACCAAGGCGGGTGGGTTTGAACCCAGCCCGGGGCCAGCTAAACAGCAATGACAACTGCAACAACAACAAAAATAGCCGGGCATTGTGGCAGGAGCCTATAGTCCCAGCTACTCGGGAGGCTGAGGCAAGAGGATTGCTTAAGCCCAGGAGTTGGAGGTTGCTGTGAGCTGTGACACCACAGCACTCTACCAAGGGCGACAACTTGAGACTCTGTCTCAATAAATAAATAATATCCTCTGTTGTGAATATTGGTGTGGAGTCTGTTTCCTGATGGGACCCTGCCTGATTCAGAGGTGAAGGGTATGAAAGCATACACGGTAAAAATAACAGTGGAACCCATTTCTGTAGAGGCAGAAAACCTATTGGATGGGGCTGTTAATTGAAAGGCAAGTGAATTTGTGAGGTCAGCAAGTTTAAATAATTCTTTCTAAAACCATTTCAGTGAAACAAGAAGCAGCATCTAGGAAGGGATTTGGTGCCCAAAGCCTAGAAATCTACCTTCACGTCCTTCGTTCCTGTTAAGGGGGAATCACTTTTTTCAAACATGTATTAGTTAAGACTCACTCCAGGAAGCACAGAATAAAGTATTTATTCTAAGAATTAGATACTAATCAGCTGGGTGTGGTGGCTCAAGCCGGCAATCCTAGCAATCTGGAAGGTCAAGGTCGGTAGATTGCTTGAGCTCAGGAGTTCCAGACCGCCTGAGCAAGAGCGAGACACTGTCTCTACTAAAAATAGAAAAGCTAGCCAGGCATTGTGGCAGGTGACTGTTGTTCCAGCTACTTGTAAGGCTGAGGCAAGAGGATGGCTTGAGCCCAAGAGTTTGAGATTGCTGTGAGCTATGATGCCATCACTCTACCCAGGGGAACAGAGGATGCTGTCTCAAAAAAAAAAGAAATAAAAGAATTAGATACTATTCAATTTCTGGACAGCAAAGACCTGCAAACATTAGAGAAAAGTCACTAGCCAGCCCTGGCGTGGGTGAATGTGTCAAGGAAGCTAAGCATGTCCCAGCTGTAGAGGGACTGCTAAGGGAGCTCCTATAGAGAAGTCTGTGGACGATTATTCAAAACTCTGCCCTCTGGTGGCGAGTTCAAACACAGCCCCGGCCAACAACTGCAAAAACTGCAAAAAACAAAACAAAAAACCAACTCTGCCCTCTTTCACTCTCAATGCCAAAGTCCTTCCTCACCTGAGTGTTTTAGGCAGCAGCAGGACCTCTTCTCTTAGATAAGAAATAATCTAATAGACACGTTGTCCCTAAGATCTGAATGAGTGTCCTCCTATGCAAAGACTTCATAGAAAAGGCTGAGTGGTAAAGCTGGGCCCTGGGGTCAGTCTGGTCAGCGGGGCTGGCATTTTAGGAGAGCTGGCATGGAACAGGACATGGAGAGGACTGACCCAAACCTTCATACGCCCCTGCATCTCTTCCTCACCACCTCTAACCAAAGACACTTTGGAGAATGATGGCTGCTCCTTCGTTTTGCCTCTCAAGTCTCATAATAATAATAATAGTAATAATAATAAAAGTTTGTGGCAAACTTTAACTCAATTCCTTACAGAGAAGGGAGGTACAAAATGTAATATTATCTTAGTTAGGGTTGCTTTGAGCACCCGCCAGGATGTAAAACATCATAAAATTCAATTTTCTTATATGAGGGCTAAGGGATGAGGGGGTAGGATATACATTCTCTCTTGAGAAGAATGCACCTATTAGATTCTTTTCTCTTTAAGAGATTTCCTCCTCGCTGCCTAAATGGCCTGGATATAGACACAGATCATGCTAATGAGGTTTACATCTGAGGATCTTGGAGCTTCCCTCCTCAGTTTCCAATATTCTTTGCACACTTTTCCCTTGATTCGTACACCCAATGTGCTATATCATCCTTGCAAACCATGGTCTTTTGGGAGTGCTTCAAACGGAGTTGTGTATTGAGAGTGGAGAGGATGAAACTATTTGGTGACCCAGTCCTGACTCTGCTACTAACTTTCTATGTGATCTTGGAAAAATCACTTTTTTCTGGGCCTCCATCTTGTCAACCAAAAATCTGGAGAAGATTGGCAGTAGGAAACAATATATCCATCATAGTACATGGTTTTCTAGATGCTGAAAAAACATAGAGAGTGAAAAAAATGAAGAAATCCTAGGTTTTCAACACCCAAACAGGGCAGGGTAATTGGATTTTCACCTAAGGATTCTCTGGGATGTCCTAATCAGTTTCTAAATCCCTGTGACACTTATATCATAGGTCTTTCTCCTTGACCCCAGCTCTCAAATACACTGTGTGGCTCTTGCAAAACCATAGTCCCTCTCTGGGCCTACTTGCATAGTCAAGGTACTAATTTTGCTCTCATTTTAAAGCTCCCCATGTGGGGTAAACCCCCACAAAAATTAAATGAAATGTGCTCTTTTAATTCCAGAACTGAGCGAAAAGACTTGTGAGTATTATGTGCTTTTGTCGAAGCCCTAAGCGACCTGGGAAAACACGGTGGGGGCCTGCAGGCCAGGGGTAAAAACCTCCCACAGGTAACCCCGACTGTGCAGTCAAGTCAGCCTGTCAGATAAGGGTTGAAACGGCCCATCTGTGCAGAGGACATGACTCAAAGGTTGATGTGAGTGAAAAGAAAACCTCCATCGTAATGATGTGAGTAAAATACTCCATTGTAACTGCAGGGTCTCCAAATCCATAAAAAAAAGTCATGAAGCCAGTTTCTCAGAAATTTAATTGAGTACATAGAAGAGAAAGGTTTTACTCCTCTGTTTATCCTAACCTTTAACTTTAACAATAGAAGTCAGATAATGTATTGTTCTTTTAGGTCTTCCAAGAGGAGTAGCCTGAGGCTAGCTTAAGATGGTTGTCTTACTTTCCTGGACTTTCTTTCTTTAGGCTAATCTTATGATGGCTATCTCACTTTCCCGGACTTTCTTTCTTTTCTATAGTTTAAGATAAGAAATGAGGATGTTAGGATTATTGATCTATGTGGTGTACGTGACTAGCTCCCAATAAAGGGGAGTGGAAAATAAAGACATTTTGCTACATGCCACCTAAGAGTATGTAGTCCTTTCTTGCTTTTAAACAATTCTAGGAGGGAGTTTGTGTAGGGGCTGAGCCCACGCCATTTTAATGATGGCCACCACCACCATCTTAGGCCCAATGAGTCAGCATAACGTTCCCCGCCCATCCCATGGCCGAAACCTATGTCCAATCAGGAGCTTAGGTCTAACCTGTAATCTGTCCATGCCCCTAGCAACCAACCAAAATTATACCCGTACTTTACTCCTCCTCTTCCTGTTTTGCAACCAATCAAAATTGCACCCGTACTTTACCCCTCCCCTTCCTGTTTTGCAACCAATCAAAATTGTACCCGTACTTTACCCCTCCCCTTCCAGTTTTCTGTACCCTATAAAAACTGATTGCACCTCAGGGGCAGGGCTCTTCCTTGGTGTGCTCACCAGGAGAGTCCAGGCCCCGGCTTGAATAAAGCTTGCCTCATAATCTTTATATCGGAGTGTGTCTCGGACTAACTCTTGAGGGATCGAGAAAAATCCAGGCACAACACTTGCACCTGCGGCCAAGCCATCCTTCTCTCCCCACGAGAAAGAACATCACCTAACACCCCCAAAAGACCATGGTTTGCAAGGATGATATAGCACATTGAGTGTAGGGATCAGGGAAGAGTGTGCAAAGAGAATTGGAATCTGATGAGGGAAGCCCCAAGATCCTTAGGTGTAAACCTAATTAGCACGACCTGTGTTGGCCTATGTTGGGAGTGAAAAACTAGAATTCTGCACCATTCCATTTTCTATACCTTTTCAACACTCAGAGAACCATAATAAACATGTACTCTGTTGCTCTTTACAGTCCATCAACTCCAATCTGCTTATTGGTGAGAATGAAGCTCAGAGAAGAGAAGTGACTCTCCCAAGGTCACACAGCCACTAAGTGCAACAGCCAGGATAAAGAGCTGAGTATTTTCAACTCTGCCCTCTCTCACTCTCAATTCCCAAGTCTTTTCTGAAGCTGACCATTTTAGGCAGCAGCAAGGCCTCTTCTCTTGGACAGGAGATAATCTAATAGACACATTGTTCCTAAGATCTAAATGAAGTGTTCCTCCTTCTTTACTCCTCAGCTCCCAAACTGGGAAACTGCCTTTGAAAAAAGGAGTCTTCTTAATTTGCGTTAGAACCACGATAATGGTGGATTTCTAAACTAGATAATGTAAGGCTTTGTGGGGCATAGTAAAGATTGTGGATATTTTCCTAGGTGTGATGTGGAGCCTTGGAGGATTTTAAGCTGGGTTATAAGAAGGGCTGACATATATTTTTAAAAGTAGCCTTCTGGCTGTTGTATGATTTATTCTTGCTGGTCCTTAAAAGGTAAAGGTGGACAAAGGGAGGCATGTTAGCTCAGGTAGGTGGGTGTGGGTGTGTCAGGATGGTGACTAGGCATGAGAGAGGCAGGCTATCTCAGGGCAGGCTGTACCCGTGGGCAGCTGAGGGCACACATAAGCAACACAGTTTCCAAGTGATTAGAGGGATCAGAGAATCCAGACTCTCCCCTATTTTCTGTCACTTTTCCAGACTGCCCGAGGCTGCTTCTACTTGAAGTTATGAAGCCTGTTTTGCTGACTATGGCTGTGCTGCTGCTTTTGTGCCAGGTCATTCCAGGTAACTTAGACCTCTTCAGAGGAGGGGTCAAGGGTGAAGAGTGGGTCTTGGTTAGGGGGAATCTCAGGGCCTGGCAGGATGGGCTGATAAGAGGCAATATGAAATACCACTTGTCTTGGGGGGAAGAGGGAAGAGCCTTCAGATCTTGGGTTAGAACCTATGTCAACATTTGTTAACTCTTGTGATTCCCCAGCAGACCACTCGGTTCCTTGTGAGTGCCTATGAGTTTCAATTTACTCATTTTCCCTCCATTTGAAATAACAAATTAGGTCAAGGGGTCGATGTTAGACACACTGAAATTTTGATGTGCCACTGAAGTGACTTCTTTGTGTCTTGTAATTCATCTGAATCTTCCTAGCAACTTCCCTCCTATTGATGGGAAAGAATTGGAGAGGGCGCAGGGCATGTTCCTACACTTGGAAGACAATTATATTCATCTTATCTGATTTAAAACAGCCTCTCAGATGAATTCATTTTGCTTCGGATAAATGTTTAGTCTTTTATTGTTTCTACTTTTACCCACGTCCCTTCTCCTTTCTATGTTAGTATCTGGATTTAGGGGACAATAGATATGATGTCGCTGTTTACTTAAATAATTAATTCCTTCGGTAAGTATTGTTGAGTAGATTCCATGTGTGAGGCCCGGTGATAGGTGTCGGAGAAAGGGCAGTGAATCAACAAACCAACCAAATAAACGAGGAAAACCTCCATTCTCTTGGAACTTAGACCTCTGTTGAGGAGGAAATGAGCAGAGTAAAAGCAGGAGATACCAAGTATCAGGGGATGTGGGTTTGGAATTTTAAAAGGAGTATTAAGGGAATGCCTCACTGAGTAAGTGACATTGAAGGGCGGTGCCTGTGGCTCAAAAGGGTAGGGCGCCAGCCCCATATGCCGGAGGTAGCGGGTTCAAACGCAGCCCTGCCAACAACTGCAAAAAAAAAAAAAGTGACCTTGAACAAAAATTTGAAGGAGATGGGCAGTGGGGGCCATGTAGATATGCTGGGAAGAGCATGCATTTCTTAGCTGAACTACTTCTCAAAGAGACATTGCCCATCACTTGCTATTTGGTTACCTTGGGGTTTAAAGAGTTTGGAGGGAAAAGGCAGGATAAAAGCCCAACTTTGCTTACTTTGTGAGATAACAAGTTAGTTACCGATTCATTTCTGAGGCTGACCAATTAGTTTTACTTAAATATTAATCATTTAATTTTCAGAGACGGTGTCTTGCTATGTTGCACAGACTGTACTTGAACTTCTAAGTTCAAGTGATCCTCCTACCTCACACTCCCAAGAATATTGTTTATCTGTACTTGAAACTCATGTTTCTAAGCCATTAGTTCAATCTATGGCAATTATTATCTCTATTGAAGTTCAAGTTGCCCTATTCCTGGTCTATGGGCACCTCTTCAATTTGGCTCATAAGACTTCTCCTATCTCCTGATAGGACCTCCCTTGATATCTGGTAGGACAGAAAGTTCCTAGGTTCATCTTGTAATTTATGGCCCAAACACTGGAATCAGACATATGTTTAAGAAGGCCTGGTTTATTTTATTTTAGGGGGAGACAGTATTTTTTTTTTTTTTTTTTTGAGACAGAGCCTCAAGCTGTCCCCCTGGGTAGAGTGCTGTGGCATTACAGCTCACAGCAACCTCCAACTCCTGGGCTCAAGCGAGTCTCCTGCCTCCGCCTCCCAAGTAGCTGGGACCACAGGCGCCCGCCACAATGCCCGGCTATTTTTTTTTTGGTTGCAGCCGTCATTGTTGTTTGGCGGGTCCAGGCTGGGGATTCGAACCTGCCACCTTAGGTGTACATGGCTGGCGCCTTAGCCAGTTGAGCTATAGGCGCCGAGCCAGGGGGGGGAGACAGTATTTTAAGACTACAGTATAAGTGCTAAGGATACTAATTTTTACTGGTTAGTCATTTTTTTCTAGGCTTTTTCAGTAACTAAAGCTGGAGTTAAAAAAAAATCTATCTATGACCATCATCTATCCGTCTATTTAAAAATAAAATACTTAAAGTTTCATACTGATACTTCCAATTCAAATTCAGAACCACCTGCTATATCACATCATTATTATTTTTTCTTATATTGAGAATTCTGTTTAATAAAGTTACAGGTGATGATAGAACTTGAATATCCCATAATTACCCATTTGATTTCTCTTCTATCACATATATAATAGTTTTAGTAAAATAATACCAATACTACCACAATAACATGACAAGTCAAACTAGTTAGAATTTCAGCATATGCTCTCATTATCATTCTCTCATTTTTATATTGTACTGTGTCTATATTATCAGGAAATACAGCCACTGTGTACTCTACTCCCTCTTTTAGAATCCTCATTCTAGTTCTTCAACTTTGTATTTAATATTTAGTTCTGGGTCAATGCTCCTTTCATTTGCTTGGCTGGTAGATTACTTAGGAACAGCTTATGGGAAAAATAGCCCCTGAATTTTAGTGTGTTAGTAACAGTTTGTTTTTGTGTTTGGGAGTCAAATTTGTTGGACATAATATTTTTTGCTTACTTTTTCTTTCCTTAAATACCTTAAATATGACCATTTTTATTTTCTGGAATAAAGCTCTTTTGTTAAAAAGTATAAGCATAGTTTAGACTTACAGTCTTGTAGTATTTTCTTTGCCTATATCACTTTTTATTTTTGGTGTGGCTTTAATACCCAACACATGTTTTTTCCTTTTTCTGTGATATCCAGTAATTCTACAAGAATATATCTTGCTTTGGGTCAGTATTCTCAGGTATACTGTATGCCCTTTCAGTATGTGTTTTCAAATATTTTTCTTTTCTTTTCTTTCTTTCTTTTTTTTTTTGGAGACAGAGCCTCAAACTGTCCCCCCTGGGTAGAGTGCTGTGGCATCACAACTCACAGCAACCTCCAACTGCTGGGCTCAAGCGAGTCTCCTGCCTCTGCTTCCAAGTAGCTGGTACCACAGGCACTCGCCACAACGCCTGGCTATTTTTTTTCTTTTTGGTTGCAGCCATCATTGTTGTTTGGTGGGCCCAGGCTAGATTTGAACCCGCCACCTTAGGTGTACGTGGCTAGCGCCTTAGCCACTTGAGCCACAGGTGCCAAGCCTCAAATATTTTTCTATTTCAGGAAATTTTACTGAACACAGTGTGTGGTATTTGTTCTGTTCCCTGTCTTTATTCTTTAGTGGTTCCTATTTTTGGTATGTTGGATTTCTTTTACCTATCATCAATATTTGTAACTTTCTATTGATTCTTTTCTATTTCTTTTTTTTTTATATGAGATATTTAACACTTTATTATAAAGTAAGCTTTGTGTTGGATGATTTTGCCCATCTGTAGGCTAATATAAATAAAAAATACTCAGGGTAATTGACACAGCCAAATACCCTAACTTTATCATTATACATTCTATGTGCATATAACAAATCCATGTACCCCCTAAGTGTGTATCAATAAAAAATGCATTGAATATACCTTTGCCATTTTTTAAGGGGATTATTTGCTTTTTAAAAAATTGTTGGGTTGTTTGAATTTCTTGTATAATCTGGATATGAGTCCCTTATTGGATGACTAGTTTGCAAATATTTTCTCTCATTCAACAGGTTATTTCTTACTCTGCTGATTGCTTTCTTTCAGCATCAGGGCAGAATTTAGTCTTTTGGGGGCCAGGCTTTCAGATGGTCTTTTCATTTTATCTCATCCTTTCCTTTTGATTAAAATATCCCTCTTTTCACTCTGTATCACTCTTCAACCATTATCAGGTTCATTTTCGTCCCTTCTAGTTAAGTTATGGAATGATTTTTTTCTGAGGTCCTGCTACTTCCGCATTTATTTAATGCTAGCGACTTGCTTTTCAAACATTTCATTTCATCTCCACAACAACTGTGTGAGGCAGGTGTTACAGCTTCTTTTTGGAAAAGAGGAAATTGGTGCACAGAGAAATGAGGTAACTGCTCCAGATCTTCCAGTTGGCTTGCGATGCAGACAGATTTCAAAACCCATTCTAAGTGTTCCAAAAGCCCATGGTCTTAAGAGGGAACATTCATGAAGGGCTGGGGTTGAGACGGAGTGCCAAGAGAGAATATCATACTATATGACTACCCTACATATCCAGAGGTGACGCCTCCTTTTCCGATGGCCCCTTTTCCTGCCTCGTGTTCTGTTAGTCTTAATCCAGGACTTACTTTCCCCCGTGACTGATATTGGATCTCTCTTTTTTCTTTTTGCATTAGGTGGCACCGAAAAATGTTGGGGTCAACGTGGCTCCTGCCGTGAAACATGCCGCGTTGCTGAAAGGGCCTATATCTTCTGCAGGAACGGTAACCTGTGCTGCGTGCCCCCCAAGGGCCTGCCAAACCTAACACCGAGATAAATTAGTGCTTGGAAGTCCAAGACCATAAAAACAAGGATAAATTGGAGCTTAGTAGTCTCACCTGACCTTAGTAGATTCCTGAGCTTTATTAAAATCTCTTTGGCTGCCTTCTGTGTTTGTGTCTTCGTATGCCTCATCAAGCTCAAATGGAAGGGTGTGGGCCAGGAGGTATATAAAGGACAGGAGACTGTACCTACTGTGTGCTCGGTGTTCTATATCCTTTTCCTTTCTTATAAAAGGAAATTTCATCTATGAACAAAATATTTTGCATCTTTATTGAAGTCTAATTCACGCAAATTGTATATGTTTAATACCATTGATGATTTGATACACATATTCACGGTGAGATGATTACCACAATGGAGTTAATTAACACATCCATCAACCCACATAGTTACCATTTTTCTTTTTGTTTGTTTTTTGAGACAGAGTCTCACTATGTCGCCCTCGGTAGAGTGCTGTGACATCACAGCTCACAGCAACCTCAAACTCTTGGTGCTGAAGCGAGTCTTTTGCCTCAGCCTCCCAAGTAGCTGGGACTACAGGCACCCACCACAATGCCCCGGTATTTTTTGTTGCAGTTGTCATTGTTCTTTAGCAGGCCTGGGCTGGGTTCGAACCCGCCAGGCTCTGTGTATGTGGCTGGTGTTGTACCCACCATTTTTTTTTTTTTTAATCATTATGGTGAGAACACTTAAGATCTACTCTCTTAGTAAATTTCGGGTACACAATACAGTACTGTTAACTTTAGTCACTGCTATGGGGTTTTTGTTCCCTCCAAAACACTTGCTGAAATTTGATGCCCAATGCGACAGTATTAAGAGGTATGGCTTTAGAAGGTAATTGAGTCAAGAGTGCTCCAACTTCAAGAATGGGATTGGGTTCCCTTATGAAAGGGCTTGACAGTAGGAATTGACCCCTTTTAGTCCCTTTCATCCCTTGTGCCCTGTGAGGATACAATGTTCCTCCCCTCTGGAGGCTGCAGCAATAAGCAGCCATCTTGGGAGCAGAGAGACTGGACCCTCACAGTCCTTGACTATTGCCCTTCTCAGCCTCTAGGACTATGAGAAATAGGTTTCAGCCTCAGACACTTTGTTATCGGAGACTAAATGAACTAAGATAGTCACCATGCTGTACCTTAGATCTCCAGAACTTATTCGTCTTATAATGGGAAGTTTGTACAAATCTAAGTTCTTATGTTTACATTCAAGGCATTTCAAATCTTATCCCTGTGTAATTGTCCAACATTATATGCTGCAGGAACTGGCAGCTGCAGCCGGGCAGTATACCGTATCTTGCTGCGTACAATGCACTCCTGTGTATCATAGGCACCCATGTTTTGGGCCCAGACTTTCAGGAACAAAAATCTTTCATTTTAATTTTTTAATTCAGATTTTATTTGTTTACATTTAGGTACTTGTTTTTTGTATTGTAAAGAAACTCTGTAAACATACCAGCTAGATTGCTAGCTCCTGCCTTAAGCGTATGTCTGAAAATACCTTCATTGCAAGTTTGCCGTAAGTTCAACAAAACCCATTACCATATTCCAGGGTTTTATTTTGCATACAGATGTTGTTATTGCTTTCTAGAGCTGCTCTTTTAATGCATAGGCATAAAGAAAAGCATTAAAACCATTTGCATACATATGGAATCAGTACCACTCAAGTATAATGTGCATCCTCGTTTTTTCCCTCAAAAATTTGGGAAAGCTGTGTGCATTATGCCTGGCGAAGTGCAGTATTTATTGTTTCCAGATGGGCTGTGAGCGTTCCTGCCACTGCCCTTCTGTTCACACTGCTTTGTGCCTGGGACACACTTCTTCGCCTCACCTTCTCAACCATTTTTCTGAAATCTACTCTTCTTCAAGGTTTGGAGCAAGTCCTCCATGAACCCCCTCTGACCCCAGCCTTTGATAATTGTTCTCATGTTCTGTTCTATTGTAATAGATTAAAAAAAAATTTAATTCAGCACAGACTACTTAGTAATGTTATTTATGTGGCCATTCTGCCAGACCACTGTGATGATATAGTTGGTTGTCATTATGCTGACATCATCAAATATCCTGGCCTTTGCAGTCTTACTTTTTGGATTTGATTTTATTGTGGAAATAACACTTAACATGAGATCTGTTTTAACAAATACTTAAGTGTATAAAACATTGTTGTTGCTTATAGGTGCCACGGTTTATAGCACATCCCTAGGACTTGTTTATCTTGTTTTTTTTCTCTTTCTTTTTTTTTTTTTGAGATAGAGCCTCAAGGTATCCCCCTGGGTAGAGTGCTGTGGCATCGCAGCTCACAGCAACCTCCAACGCCTGGGCTTGAGCCTCCCAAGTAGCTGGGACCACAGGCACCCACCACAATGCCCGGCTATTTTTTGGTTGCAGCCATCATTGTTGTTTGGCGGGCCCGGGCTGGATTCGAACCCGCCACCTTAGGTGTATGTGGCTGGTGCCTTAGCTGCTTGAGCCACAGGCACTGAGCCAAACTTGTTTATCCTGTTTAGCTGAAACTTTATGCCCATTGATTAGTAACTTCCCATTTCATCTACCCCTGACCCCAGCCCATGACAGCCATCTTGCTACTCTTCGTTTATATAACTTTGACTATTTCAGAAATTTGTCTTTCTGTGACTGGTTTATTTCATTTATTTCACTTAGTATAATGTCCTCCAGGTTTGTCCATGTTGTCACATGTTGCAGAATTTCCTTCTTTTTTTTTTTTATATGAAAAGGCATTTTATTATTACTATTTTGCTATGTAACATGTTAATGAATATACCAGATTGCATTTTCTCAAATGGCATATGAGGCACATTTCTCTCCAATTCCCTGGACAACCTCAGTATCATCTGTCCTTTGGAGGATTCAGTTTCTTATGACGAGTGTGATACTGTCCGCGAGGATACCAACGGTGCTTAGTAGTAAAGAACATTTTGCTAAGTTGTTCTCTCATGGGTCCTTGTTCAAGCCATTCACTTTTTCCTGCTAATCTGGTTTTCAGCATTTGATCATGTGTTTCTTCATTATTATGCCCAGGATCTGGGAGAGGAATCGGTTTTGTGTGTTTATATGGAACGTCCACAGAAGGGTGGTAGCATGCTATTGTCCTGCCATCAGACGTCAAAGCAAGCTCTGCTTCATGGTTATAGTCATCTGGTAGAGAAGAATATGGAGATTTATGACAAACACAATATAAAGCTCCATTTTGGATTGGAAATAAACGTTTCAAGATAATTCTCTTTGATATCACCCATTTTACTGCTGCTCCAGCCATGGTATATCAAGATACTTATGAAAAAAGATTTTTGGAAGAAACACTGCTTTTAAAATCTACTTCTAGGAAAAATCAATTTTCATCCCTTGACAGTGCCTCACCGTGAGCCCGCCATCTTGTTTCCCAGAATTTCCTTCTTTCTAAAGGCGGAATAGTATTCCATTGTGTGTATATTCCACATTTTCTCTATCCATTCATTCATTAGTAGATATTTTCATTGTTTCCACATCTTGGCTATCATGAATAATGCCAGTGAACATGGGTGTGCAGCTATCTCTTTGAGATGCTGATTTCAATTCATTTGGATATAAACCCAGAAGTGAAATTGCAGGATCACACAATAGTTGGGTTTTTAATTTTTTGAGGAATCTCCATACCACTTTTCATAGTGGCTTTGTTGTGCCCACCCCGGGGGTCGCCTACCCAAAGACCACTCACAATCACAAATCGATGCAAAAAGCAAGAGGCAGGTTTATTGCTGGCGCGTCAGGGTTCCTCAGCCACAAGGGGGAAGGAACCCTTAGAGGCTGTTACAGGCTGCTTTTAAGACGAAAA